CTCTTCGGACTGGGATTCGATGTAGTACCACGCGCAGGCCTTTGAGAACACCCGCCAGCTGCACGAAGAAAAAACGCTGTTCCACGTGAGGTGCAGGGTAGATGTACCTCAGAGGCAGTCTGAGATATGCATCTTTGCATATCGTGCTTGATCGTCCGATTTCCAACATTACACATGTAATAATTTGTGAGTGCGGTGCTGCAGCTTGCAACCACACGTGCGTGACCACAGGGGTGCGTGGGCGGGTGTGACATTTGAGTCATCAGGTCCTTCTGGCCAGCTCCACAACATTGGCAGTTACTAAAACTCGGCTCGATCGCGCAAAATGCACTCGTTTCTGAGTTTGGTGAGCGCCGGGAAAGATCATTAGACTATGATTTAAAGTTTAATTTATATAATAACTAATAATAACACCATAATAATAGTAATATAATAATAATAATATAATAACTGATCGAAATACTTTAGCTAAACTGGGGATTGTAGTAATAATTAATAAATAATACTGACAAATGCAGTAAGAAATAGAAAAAGGAACCCTGAACTGAGATGCTTCGGTCCATTAAGTCGTGTACATTCCAAATCAGTACCACAACCTGCAAGTGCTAGACCTTGTTTCTGTGATATTTTTGAGAGAGGGGGAAGGAGGTTGCATGAGTCGCCTGGCTGCTTTTTCGTTCCGAAATCTTACTAAAAACAAAAATCCCGTGACGCCGTCGTACTTGGTAACGAAGGTATCCTCGGCCAGTGTCACACCTGTATTTCCCGTGCAAACATTTGTCATGTTTTCACCGTGTATTTTATTTGGGCAGTTCAATTTGACGAAGAAACACGATCAAAATGCATTTTATGTAGTTTTTTTCACTTCACACACACACACACACACACACACACACACACACACACACACACACACACACACACACACACACACACTTTCAATAGTTCTTTTCGCTTTCCCGCATTAAATTGTCTTCTTTTTTAATAAAATGAGCCTCCCTTCACACTTATTCTCTGTCAGAAGCTGACATACTCGGAAGTAGCTCGAATGGTAGCAAATGCGAACAGCAACCACTGGCTGTCAGTAGCTCCCTCTTACAAGAGTGCTGCTTCGAAGGAAGTTGATGGCGGGTTTGACTTCCTGGTATATGCTAGTACTAATTTATCAGTTTTGTTTCTTCCTATCGTTTTTTTCTTTTCCTTTCCTGTTAAGCACTGCGACCGTCATACTGACGCGGTCCTGTCGCGCGGTGTTGAGTTATGACGTATATGGCTTAATGGACCGAAATGTCTTATCTCACTCTTACCTTTTCTCATACTATTCATTCTTCCTGTAATCTGTTGAGTCTTCGCCATTTAGGCTTCCCGGGTCAACCTGGTTGCTACAGTCGGCTTACCATCGAAACGAATGAACGAATCGTAAAGTGAGAGATTGACTGTTCCAAAGTTGCGGGGTGGAACTCTCTGTGAATGCAGTGTGCCAGTGCATCAAATCCGTTGGCTCTTTTCTGTTTATTTCTGCGTTGTGCATGTGAAAAAAGCACTTTTTTGTGCGCCCAACACGAGTTTAACACGTGTTAAACATATAATCAGGGGGTCGAGTTACTGTAGTTTCAAGTAATAATTTTCGAGAAAGGGTTCCGTTCTTGCGCGTGGAGTACGTTTTTTCTTCACTCTCCCAATGGCAGTTTGCAAGTTTGGGAACAATCGCACAGCTTTTTGTATGCCACTGAGCGTATTCCGCATTTCCAGGGGAATTGCGCGTATCACATGTGAAATATATAAACTATATTCATTCAGTAAAATATATATGTATTCATTCAGACTGTCTAAATTACATATATTGAGGCTGCAGACAATTACATTGGGGCGTGTAATTATGCGTTTTTGCTGTGCAACGCCATAGCGCCGCTACAGTCAGCAACAAAGGCTGGAACGCACCAGGCGAGCCGGTGCGATCATGCGTTTTTGCATCAAAA